TGGAGTCGGAAGAATGAGAGCGGGCGGAGAGGGAATCCCGGTTTGGGGAGACTGGGGTACGGCGGCTGCCTGGGGACCAAAACGTCTCTAAGGTAAAGTTGCAGCCTGAAGCGATTTTTTGACCCCCGACACTTAATGGGCTGCTGAAGACCCGGATGTGTCTGGGACTGGCCGAGGTACCCATTAACGCGCCCCCGCTAGACCATCCCCCTCCTCCGCTTAGGATTGGGTATTGTGAACGCCAATCATCACTACTCCAGCCACTCACTCTTCAAGGGTGGGGTGTAGTCCCGGCATCCCGCCTCCTATTGGTGTGGCCGAGAAGAAGAGGGCGGGGAGGCCGGCTGAGGTCGCCCAATGGGCGTCGTGGCGTGTGGGGAAGGCGGAGCCGAGGCGCTTGGCAGCTGCCCAATCAGCGTCCTTGTTTGTGTGGTGCCGCCGCCGGTGCAGCCGCCGCCGCCGCCGCCGCTGCCCCCCGTCTGTACCGCAGTGTCTGCTCCGCCCGCCCGCCCCGGTCCGGCCCGCCCCCCTCCCCCACCCCCGCCCCCGCTCCCGTCGGCGGGGCCCGGAACCCACTGTGCCGTCACCTCCCTTTTTCGACGCCTCCGCCGCCGCCTGAGGAGGCGAGCTCGCCGGGAGTTAACACCGCCACCGCCAGGTGAGGAGCTTTGGCCTAGGCCCGCCTGGCCGCCCGCCCGCCCGGGGGCGGCGAGCAGCGAGGACGGGAGGGAGCCGGGAGGAGGCGGCGGTGGCGGAGGTGGGGGAAGGGAAAGGTGGAGGGCGGGGGAGGGGAAGCGCCCGCGAGCCGACGCCCGCCCGCGCGCCCCCGCCTCGCGTCCCCCTCCCCCGCCCGGCCCCGCGCGCCCCCGCCTCGCGCTCCCCTCACCTCGTCCCCTCCCCCGCCCCGCGCGCGCGCTCCCCGGCCTTTCCCTTCGGCCTCGCGCGCCCCCGCCTCGCGTCCCTCCGTTCCTTCTGCTTTTACTCTTTCTCCCCTCCCGCGCGCCCCGGTTCCCCCGCCATCCCCGCTTCCACTCCCTGCCTCCCGCCCGCCATGCTCCCCTCGGCTCCTCTCTAGCGCCCCCCCCAGTCTCTCCGCCCCCGGGGGTGCCCTCGGGGGCATGGGGGCCGCTCCCCGCGCGCGGTCCCCGCTCCGCCGGCCGCCGGGACCCGCGGGGGGTCCTTCGGGTGAAGGCAGCGCGGGGGGATTCTTTCTATTTAGAAGGGCTCGGGCGCGCGGAGCCGTGCCCCTTTATGCCGCCGCCCTCCCGTCGGAGAAGGGAAGGGTCTCCGCCTGGGTGGGTGCCCCTCTTCCGAGCGACCCCAGCGCCCCTCTCCTCGGCGGGGCTTCCGGGGCGCCCTGGATGCGCCTCCCAGCTCAGTGCCCGGGGGTCGGCGCCGCTGGGACTGGCCCTTCCCGGAGCGGAGCGGGACTTGGAGTACTTTCTGCCTGTCTGCTCGCAGTGACGCCGAGGAGCGAGCCCCTGCTGCGGGTGCCGTTCGCCGGCCCGGGACCAGCTGGCCCCCCGCGTAAAGGCGTGCTCGCGTCTTCGGACTCTTCCCCCAGCGGGCGCGCGACGTTAGCTCCTGGGGCTGGCGCGGACGTGGAGGCGTTGGTGGGTGGGTGGCATGTGCCGGTTAGCCGAGCCAGCCGGCGGCCTTTTCTTCTGCTGTCACCCGGAGAGTCAGGTAGCCTCCGCAGAACGAGTTTTCTCATTTCCGATAAATGATTAATTGGAGGGCTTTTGTGTGCGTGTGAGAGAGAGCTGGGAGACGCTTACTGTGTTTCAGCAAAGGAGAAGAGCAGTTGCTTTCAGGCCAGACTGCAGCAGAGATTCGGACTGGCAGCAGCTGGAGTAAAGGCAGGTCTCCCGGATCCCTGTTGAAGAGCTGGTGCTTTTGAGTTTTTGAAACATTTTTATGTATAAAAATTTAGTTTTGGGGTAGATGGCGCGTGCATGTAATTCAAAGTGAAATCTTCCCTCTCACTTCTCCAGTCGTCTAGCCCCACTCCCCGTTCACTGATTTCTGATTGTTTTCTGGCGGCAGCGTGCCTATATGTTGGAGATTAAGCAGACTTTTGCTTTTTCTTTGATGCACTGACCTAAACTCTTCCTTGAGGTCTGACTCATATTGTTAGTGTCAGAGTGATCCTGATGGAGTATTGTTCTAGAGCAACATTTCTGTCTGTGCTTGATTGGTAAGGAGGCTAGTCCTGGAGCTACTAAAGGTGGTGCTGTGGAGGGCCTCGATATATTTTAAAGGAAGGCCCGCATCTTTTGGAAATAACTGCTTTTTTTGTAACTGATACCTAGTCTCTTTTTGGGGATGGACTGCGTCCAGGATAGTCTTTCCTTGGGCTTTTTTAACAGGTAGGTTGTATGAATAATGAGTTAGTGGGAGTACGGATCCGGGAGTGCTGTCTTCCATTTTTAGAGTATAATTTTTTAGTCTAGAGGCAGTTGTAGTCCTCGTGGTAAGGAATGGAGCAGATAAATATTCATCAGTAGGAATCAGAAGGCCAGACCTGTAGGCTGAGTGACCCAGTTTGAGAAGAGGTGAGGCTTATGGACTTTTGTCCTGCTTACTTAGAGAACACTTTCGATGAAGTGAGAGGAATTTGTAGCTGACAGCAGCATCCATCTTTATGACAGTGTGGTTTGCCTCCCCTGTGTGTGATGTCTGTTAACTTCCTGTTTAGAGGCAGTCCGAAAAGGGTCGGAATAGAGGCTGCACTCAAATACTTGTCTAGGAACGGTGTTGACCAGGTTCCCTGATCAGCCCTTCAAGTCTGAGTTCTGGCAGTAACTTTTACTGCTGTGTTTAGTTAGCATAAGGTCAGGGGTGTTGGGAGGGAAGATGTGAAAATTTTTTTCTGAACCTCATAGTCTTTTAAAGTATATTCAAAAGCCTGTATGCTGCCTCCTTTCTGTTTTTCTTTCTTTCTTGGACGAATGTTTCCAATCCCCCCCCCATCCTTTTTTTTTTTTTTTTTTTCTTTCGTTCCCTGGCTTGGCCTGGCCAGACCTTCAGGTTGGATTTTGGTTACAGAACAGCAGAGTGGGGGTGGGAGGAGGGTGTCACTGTCAGTAACAGTATCCTGATGGAATACTGGGACCCCTGGATTCATCCTAGCTTTCAACAGTATGTTGTATGTAAACCAGGCCTCTTGCTTCAATGTACTGTTTCTTCCTTATCTTCCCCACCCACCGAGCTGGAGGTGCATGTGTAGGGGAACAGCATTGTGCTGTCCTGGTTTCTAGACTCTGGAGTATGTTCCATGTCAGCCAACCCATTGGGATAAGCATGTTAACAAGCAGCCCCTCTGCACTCAGAATGCTTGTGTTGTTTGATTAAAACAACTGCTAGAGAAAGTGTAAGATTTGACCCCCTTAACTAGGACCAAGGAATTTTCTTTCCTAGACCTTTTACGGTACTTAAAGCCGTGCATCATCATGTATCAAGGCACAATAGCCAGGCATTTTCTGAATCGGTTTGGAGGGGAGGGGAGGGAAAAAAAAAAAAAAAAGACACACCCAGATTGACTCTAAATGTAGCCCGCCAGGGCTAGACAGCGTAAGGCCGTCCATTTCTTGCTCAGGAAAAGATCCAACCTATCAGACAATGCCACACAAAGTTGCAGTTCCCCTGCATTGGCTAAGCTTGGGAAAAGATACATAAGGAAGTTCGGTTTTTGTTGAAACGGTGTGCCTTTTAGGGGGAAACCTTCTGTTAGCTGTATTGTTTGGTTTATCCTCAGTATCCCTGTGACACTTTCTGTAGGTACTGGTTGGGGATCCTGGGGGCTCCAGAGTCCATGAGGCAGAGAGACTCCTGTGCTTGTGGAGTAATGATGAAAGCATTGGAGAATAGATCTGATTTGAAATGCTCCCTCTTCATGTTCCATTTTTTCCTCTCAGGGGTATTTGAAATATTCCTATGTGGTTTTGAATTCATTCAGTAGGAAAGGAGTGACCCAGGGTCATTAAAGAGTTAAGCTTGTCTACTTCGTAGATGGTGTGTCCCTCAAAATCCGCTAATCTTTATCGTTGCCTTAAATTGCCATTAACTGGCAAGAAACTACAGGAGGTTGGGGTTATACTACCAAAAGCAACAGATGAATAAGAACACATATTTTGTTACTTTTGAGGTATGAAACTGGTCAAATCCCAGACGTTAAAGTGATAGTAACCGCAGAAACTTCTTTGACAACATCTAAATTTTTAATTGTTATTAATACTAGTAAAGTATTAACAAAAATGACAATACCTCCACATTCCTGAGACATTCTCTTTTTGCTTTTCACATCTGAATGGTATACATTTTTTAAATAATTCAGGTTACCATTACATGAACGTGAAAGTCATGCTTTAAACCTCCTGATCAAAGCTCTCTTGATCTTGTCTCGTTTTGCGGGAAGGTGGAATTTTGAATTACCCAAAATATAGGCCGGAATGTCAGTGGGATTTAGATTAGACATCAGAATTAATAAATTCTCTTATAGTTGTGAGGGATTAGAAATGTTAAACAGAGAGTTAGTGCATCTCTTACCTAGAACATATTTACAGAGTTAGCTCTTTGAGAGCGTTTAAATTCAGACTTCCGGGGAGGGAGGTTGTAGGACTCTTAAGTGGCCAAGTGGACTAGTAGAACACAGGTGTAGAGAATCTAGAAATCCTGAGTCAAATCCTAGTTTTGCCATTTATTAGCTATGATTTTGGATAAGGCTTCTAATATTTTTCCCCCATCCTACCCACCCTCATAAGGCTCCTGATTTTTAAATTCCCATTTCTCTCAGAGTGAAAGTCTGTTCTTAACAGTGGCCTGTAGGGTCTTGCAAGACCTGCAGTTCCCCACCCTTCTCTGTTGATCTCTGTCATCCTTCTTCTTGCTCACTCCATTGCAGCCACCTTGACTTGTTTCTTAAATGCATCAGTCACACTCTTTATCTTAGGACCTTTGCACTAGCTCTTCCCTCTAGTGGGAAAGAGCTAGTTTTTCCCACAGTGATAATACAAATGATTAATTTCTTTACCTTCAAGTCTTTGCTTAAGTCACCTTTTCAGTGAGATCTCTTAAAACTGTGCCTTCAACTCCCACCTCTCAGTCCTGATTTTTCCATGCTCTGTTTTCTTTTTTTACAGTGCTTATAACATATTTATTACATTTATTGCTTTTTTAATTTAAATTCAATTAGCCGACTTATAGTACCTCATTAGTTTCAGATGTACAGTTCAATAATTTATGAGTCGTATATAACACCCGGTGCTCATCGCATCACGTGCCTTCTTTAATGCCCGTCACCCAATTACCCCAGCCCCCACCCACCTCCCCTCCAGCAGCCCTCAGTGTGTTTCCTGTAGTTAAGAGTCTCATGGTTTGTCTCCCTCCCTCTCTGTTTACTTCCCATTCAATTTTCCCTCCCTTCCCCTGTGATTCTCTGCACTGTTTCTTGAGTGAAACCATATGATAATTGTCTTTCTCTGATTGACTTTTATTGCCTTTTTAAAAAAGTTTATTTATTTAAGTAATCTCTATACCCAGCGTGGGGCTCAAACTCATGACCCTGAGACCAAGAGTTGCATGCTCCTCCAACTGGGCCAGCCAGGCCCCACCCCCCCCTTTTTTTTAATGTTTATTGCTTATTGGTTCCCCTCCTAT